AAAAAAAAGTGCAACTGCAGCCGGGAGAGCTGGCGTGCGAGTTGCAGTCCTCACGAGTAAAGTGCTGAAAACGTCGATGCTCGAAACATGTGCAATCGAAGAGATGCTCCTGGAGTCACAAAGACAGGTGCTTTGGCCAGAAGGCCCGACACACGGGCCAGAGGTCCTCAAGCAGACGATGTGACCGCGTGCGGCCATCACGTGCATGAGCAGAAAAACTTGACTTCTCTCGCATTTCTCTGGGCCTCGAGACCCACGCAAAGCCATCATGTCGCACAACCGGCAGGGCTGGCAGGCCCGCAGGATCACTTCGCAGGTCACGCTGGGATCGATGTGAGCCGAACGCTGCGGCTGTACAGGCATATGAGCAGCGTGGATAGCAAGGACATTCAAATAACAGGTACATGTCTACTCCTGTCCAAGCATAAGTGAAGACCAGAGAGCACACCTTGACAGTTCATACTGCAGGGACCTCGTCTCGTCCGATCGATCAGAATCTGCCGTGTTGCAGGCAGTGCAGGGCACATCGATGCCAGGGTTCGCGACAAACCATGCCAAAGTGAGGAGCGACAGCACAGATAGCGACACGGACATACACAGGACTTTGGCCCTGTCTCTGCCAGGCCTGGTAAGTGGAATACGTGAGGCAACCTGATCGAGGATAAGTTTTCTCCCATCCGTCAGAAGCTGAGGTCAACACTGGCACACTGAGCCCCGCAGCTGCGGAGCCCTGTACTGAACTTGAGCCGAGCTGCTTAGGCTGCGAGGAGCTCGTCGCAACCTCCTAGCAGTCGGCTGTGCTGCATGTCTCCACGATGCCGTTCAGTCTGCACTGACAAAAAGCTCGGGACAGTGAACCGGCGCCGAACCCGCAACGCTGAAAGTCACTGGCGCTTGAAGACACGAGAAACGGGCAGGCACCTCCGACTGCACCATAGCGGGCTGTTAGCCGATTCCGCAGCTGTAGAGGTATATGAATGCTCAAAGGGCAGAGGGCTGGGTAGCAGTTTAAGTGCGGGCAAACCGACTTGAAGCGTCACAGATCAGAGTAGATAGCAGTGGGATCGTCCAAAAGTTTGAGGCTCGTCATGTTTGTCTCTAATTTTCAACAGGTACAGTAGGCATCGTGGCATGCATTGACCGTATGCACTATGCACTTGATCCAAAGTTGACAACAGTGCATTCTTCCTGAGATGTCCCGCAACAGGCATGCTTCGCAACATCCACATATGCGGGCACTGCAGGGTAGCGTGCCACAGCATGGACCAGCGCACAGCGGATGCATTCCTTTCCCGGCTCTCATTGTCGAGGTGCGCAAGATGCCCCTCGGCTCCCAGGCAGAACCGAGCCGACCTCGGCTGCGG